CTTTCCTTCTTAAACATTCAGTATCTCCTGTTTGGCGCTGAGACAGTGCCGTCTTTGTGTGAGATCCACTCTTGTTAAACTCAGCAGAGGGGCACTCCATTCAGCTAAACCATTCAAAATCCTTTTAACCAATAAAAAAAAAAGAACCCTACTAGACAAAAACTCCCACATCATCGCTTAGAGTCACTTCTGCCAGGAGTAAACATGGTGTGTTCTCACTAACAGACCTTTAATCTGGCAGGGGATCCTATTATTCATTCATTTTGTACTTCAGCAGAACTAAAGCTATGTTTATAAAGTGAAGAGGGCATATAAATCCTGTGTCAGGTTTCTGGTTTGATCTTTAGTCATCTGAATCTGTAAATAATGAACAATGAACGTCTATCTTGTTATAATCTACCATCTAACCTGAAAGTCTCAGAACAACACTGCTGTAGACAGTCATCCTGGAAATATTTCCCCATGTAAAACAATGAAGCAAGTGTGCGTAAATCCTACATAAATCTCTGTTCTCATCTCTTTCGAGATCACAGACACTGACTCACAGTTGCCACTCATGGCAACCACATGTTATGAAATGTAACATTTAAAGCTCTGAAAATGATGCCTGCATCATTCTCTGATCTGACGAAACTGTTTGGAGGCTGTGAAACAATAAACAGAAAAAATGATTTGATCCTTCCCTCATATCCATTCTCAGCATATTTTTAAATTCATTACAGCAGCGGTTCCCAACCTGTGGGCCACAAAAGTATAGCAAATGGGAAGACTAAATATTTTAAAATGAATAGTTTTTTGTGTCTGTATTAAGGCTCTGTAGGCACTGTAAGAAGGTAATGATAGAAACTTTTATGTTGTTGCCAGCTGGACCACTTTGCCACCACTTTACTTGTTTGCTATCTCAGTCTGATTGCGCACTAAAAATTCATGGCAAAAACTGGAGTAACACAATGATAGCTGGTTAGCAACAGGAAGAATTAAAAGGTAAGAGAATCAAGAGATGGATGGTGAATAAAAAAGTGATCTCCCCCACATCAAACAAAAAAGAGAAATTGAGCTTCCCCTGTTTTCAGTTCCATCCAGAATGGTTGATTGTTTATAATTAAAATTAAAAGTCCTCTGAGAACACATTGTTTGGCAGTGTATTGTAATGGGGTTGGATGTGGGCCATCAGCATTAGAGAGATTCTCAAGTGGGCCATAAGTTAGAAAAGGTTGGGAACCGCTGCACTACAGGATCAGACAGTTGTGAAGTTAAAGGAATCGCCCAATGCCTGATGAGGTGATTGCCAAGGTAGTACAGTGTTTGTACAGGGCGCTTAGCACTTAAATGAAAGATGAAATGCCCTGATGTACATAAAAAAAAGAAAAAAAACTAGTATGCAACATTTCAAAAGTTCACATGTAGATTTCTCCGGTTTCCATGACTGCTTCATAATAACCTGCTCACATTTAACATGACAAAACAGAGTTGATTTCTCAAAGCTTGCACTCTGGCAAACTATCAGAAATACACCTCTAAATGGTTTGTTTTTGAATAGTGCAACACGCCATAATAGCTCCCATTGTTCAACTCATAATGTTAAAATGGCCAAGAAATTGAAGAGCATTAAAAATACAAGTAAGGCATTGTGAAATCCATTAAACCGTAGCACAAGGAATTTGTTAGTTGGTCAGCATGCAAGTGTGTTTATAAGGAGTGTACTAAACACTGACATCTGTTGCTCTTCAGTCTTTAGCCATGCAACATTTTCTAGTAGTCCAACAAGTGCATGACTCCAAACAGAGCAAGAGCAGTCTACATTTGGAAAAATGCAAGAGAGAGGAATTAGTTTTTTAGCCCATAGCACAAACAAACTGAGCTTTAAAAATATAACATGGGAAGGTTTAATCATTGTGCACCCTGGGTGACAATGTTGCCTTGTCACCCAGGGTGCCACATCATGCTCTCCTCCACAGATTTGATTGAAGCTCTTCAGCTGGTTTTAAATGTAGGCGAGCAGAAACCTATTATGACTGCAGAGTGGTGTGTCATGACCGCTGCAGGAGCTAAAATACAACTGTTCTCCACCAAAAAAAAGGCTCCAGAGGCCACAACAACAGCAACATTCAAACTGAGTCTGGGAAGGAAATGACAGTGTTGCAGTGAGTTTCTAGAGACAATGCAATCTGAAAACGGACTCGCACACAGCCTATAGCTGCACAGACGTTTCCCCTGAACACTTGGCAATGCATCTGTTAGTGAAAATACACTGCACAGCCTCTGTTGGGTTTGACCCACTTTTGTGATACATAGATAATAAACACACCGAAAATACAGTTCACAGCTCCATAACAACTCTCAGAACCCTGACTCTGTGACTTGGGCAAATTAGAAATAATTCGGCTCATACAGCTACACAAGGCAGATGTCTACAATTATTCATATTTTCTCCATAAATCACATTGGTCTATTGTTTAGATCTTCCCTGTCTGCCTCCTCTGTTGGGGATTTGGCAAAATCACAGCAAGTGAAGCAATGCTATGGGCATGAAGTATTATTTGTCTGCCAGACTGGAGCACAGATGATAGCATTGTAAAGATGTGCTGACTTGATACAGGCATGGGAGGGAGCCACTGATGACTATCCCAGCACTCTTATAGAGAGAGAGAGACATACAGCTGTGACCCTGTAATGTATGGAGCAGGTACGTAATATTATGTGACAGCCTGGGACTGTTGCTTTTGGTTAGCTCCAGACTTGAAGACAATATAGGCAATATTTTTTATTTTTACGACAATGGACCAAATGACTGCACGTGAAATGGGGCCGTTTGTAATGACGAACCCAGAGAATTACCAGCTGATTCTGCAGTTTCCCTCAGCTCTGTAGAACATTTTATCTTTCAGCTCATTGTTTTGATTTTGGTTCAGTCTCACTGCTCTCATTGGCAACAATCAAGATGCAGCCAGAAGGTAGTCTTCAGAAGTCTGCTTCCAGCCCAGCAAATAAATAATCAATAAAAATATATAAAACAATAAATAAGCTAGCAACCAGCTAGTGATCATTTAGTATTTAGAAGCTAAGGAACTAGTTTTTCTTTTTTTTTTTAAAGGAGATGATGGAGTCTAAAATAGAGCTAAAAGTATAGTAAATATTGGATATACATTAGTCAGGTGGACACAAACATGACGCTAAATGCTAATGTTACTCTGTTTCTGCTTTTATGTGTAAAAAGGTGATAATATGTTAATGATCAGTTTTTGACTTGCTTCCCACAAGTTGCAGAAAAAGCAATGAATGAACAAACGCTGGTTTAAAAAGGTCTGTCTCATTGCTATGGATTAAGAAAAGCATCATCTAAGAAATGAACTTTGCCAATGACAGTTGGCGTATTAACCCTCATGGTTGAATCAGTGAAAGACCTGCAAGGCTCATGCGAAATGCGTCTTGCTAAGACAAGAGCACAAAACTCAAGAGCAACTCTCACACAGGCTTTGCATGAACTTTGGATAAACTTTGAATACTGCAACAGACAACGACACAAAACATACTATCTGTCCTGTGCCAGATCACCATGTTTACTGTACACTCGCACAGCACATGCTGTTTTGAGGTCTTAAGCAGAAAGTGCTTGACCTTGCTGGTGAATGAATGACTCTTGGTTGCTTTGTCACACAGTAACTAAATGCAAATACAGTGCACACCAGCATGCTACTGCTCTGGGTTTTGTATTATTGTTGAGTGTTTACCCAAGATAGAAACTCCTGGTCACGCACAGCGCAGTAATTCAATGACTTAGACTCATGACAGTAGGTTGGAGAGTAGTAACAGAGGACGGCATCAGTCATGCAATAAGTAAAACAAACAGTCGGGGCTGTAAAAGCTGGTCAAACAAGTGCTGCAGTGGATGTGAGGGGAGGAGAGAGTGCAGCGGTGGCCATGATGAGCAGCCAAGTCTGGACTTCTTTAAACATCCTTCCTTCCTGCTCTCTGTAAAGCTATCATTTATCTGGCACGCTTGGGCAGATATTAAGTCTGACTGCTTTCCATATAAAGAAGAAAGGTACAATGAAAAAATAGAAAGGTGAACATTGTGGAGATTCAATGAATAGATTTCAGTGTGCCAAAAAGTTCAGAGTCTTTGGGAGTGTAAGCTGAACATGCATCATTATGATCTTTATCTGCATATATTTGACAGTTTTGGCAGCAGCAACAACAACCAGCAAATAAAAAAAAAAAGTTCAAAAGCGCCACATCCTCCCACGAACCCGTCCTCAGAGTCTAACATGTTCCCATCTTGTGGCTCACTCACTGTCATTAATTAGTTTCTGTTGTGACGAGGATTAGACCAGTTCCTCTCCAGTCATTAAAGCCCTGCGGTCTGAACTTCTTAAAGAGCCGCAACACTGAACTGGAGAATTCCATTATGTGCACATGCAAAGTAGTCAAATAATTTATACACCAAAACACTCTCCACTCACTGAAGTATGTCTGCCATCCGCATCAATTAAGTCCTGATCAAAGTGCTTCAAGAAGCAAAACAAAAGACAATGTGCCTCTCTCCGTCACTCTCTTTGTCAGCGTGCGCACACTTAAAAAGCTTGAGATGCTGTGGGCTGTGGAAGTGAAACAGTCCCACCGACTGTGCTCAGGATAACAAAAAGGTTTGGAGAGTGCAGTGACATTAGCTTTGTGCTGCCTTTGTGTGTCACAAAGACAAGGTTTCATAAAAAGAGAACAAAGACTGTGTATCAATGCTGTGCACAGTATCGTGCAATTGGGGAAAGAAAAAAAAAAACTTACTAAAAGCATTTCTTTTCTTTTGTTGTCTAAACTAGACTTACAACATATCAGGCTCGAAAAACTTGAGTGACACATGACTACCAAAGCCACAGAGAGAAACAAAGTCAGAAACTCATGCTCTCAGTTAGTGGGTCAGTGGAGCACTTTAACTCTTTTACCAGAAAGTAGCAGCAGACAAGAATGACAACCAGGAGTAAAACCTGGTGTTACTTTACCATCTTTGCAGGAGTTTCTCCTCTTATCAGGCACAAAGTTTTTTCATTTTTGTTCCTGATAATCCTCTGCAGACAGCCTCCCTGGGCTCCGTGCTGATAGACTTGCCATGTTTAGTGCATCAACAACAGAAGGCGGCTGAAGTACTTCCACATGACAGTGAGTTGTGTTGGTCGAAAAGTAACCAAAGTCATTTCCATTCTTCATGGACTTTCCACAAGTCTGAGTGTTTGGCGCAGAAAGCAGCAAATTGTCAGGCTGCCTGTTGATCCTCCTCTTTCACTTCTCTTTCGCTTCTCTGGCTACTCTGAGTGTTTGGGGGTGAGAGAGAGAGAGAGAGAGAGAGAGAGAGAGAGAGAGAGAGAGAGGGAAGGAGGGAAGGCAAGAGTGTCTGAGAGGGGGAGGAGAAAAGCTTTCCCTTTCAGAGGAAATCCCCCTCAAGGCTTTTCAGAGTTTCTTCGCTCTCTCTCTCTCAAACACACAGGCTTTATCACACACCCAACCACACCCACAGTCACAGTATTCCACAAATGGATACACAAAAGCATGCCAGCCTGCGCAGACACACTCAGTGTGTATGTGTTACTCTATGTAAGGTAAGACTTCAAACATTCCCACATCCTACTTTGTCATGCATGTAAACACGCACATGCGCACGGATGCATACACACTCCTTTGGCCCGGCATCAGAGAGCTGCAGAAATCCAGCCCCTCGTTTGTGGCCCCTTTCTTTCTATTTTAATCGCTAGGAGCTTTTAGAGGGCTAAGTCAGTCTTTCTCCCCTCTCCTATCCCTCATAGACTTCCACTGTCTGCTCCAGGCTTTCTCATTTCCTTTTTTCAGCAATTGTCTTCCGGCAGACTGCCCAGTCTCTTTGACTCATATCAAAGCGGAAGGGCTTCCCTGCAGAGGACCAAGCCAAGCAGCAGGCATGAGTAGAGTGCTGCTATACCTCCACATTCGGCCAGAGGAATGTAGGGTTACACCCCTCTGGACTACATTTTACATCTGGAGTTGGAAGATGTATAGAGTACGAAACCCAAGACCTTCTGCGGCAAGAAGCAAGGTTCATCGCTGAGAAATTCCTTGAGGGAAGAGATTGACAGGCCACCGTTTATTTCTGTCGGCTAAAGGCCAGAGAATGAGCGTGAGTGAGGTGGTTTAGACAAGCGGCTCACAGTCGGCCTCAACCTCTGTCTGTTTCTATCTTCAAATTCCAGAAGCTATATGCGAGTTCATCTCCTCATTTAAAGAAGAGACAGAATATATTTTCTTTTAATCCAAAGTTTTATGCAGCAGGTGAAGTTGCAGCTGGAAATATAAACTGTAAGCCTCCCTCTCTAACGCTCTCAGAATCTGCGGTTTCCCACTCTGCAGAAACTGCAGTCTCTTGAACATTCCTCACATGTTTTTCTTTCACGGCAATACAGCCATGCTAATTTGTCTTTCACCCTAAACCACAAAAATATGTAGGTGACATTCTTCACATGTGGTACACTACTCCATTCCCCCCGTTTCTCCTCTTTGTGTCATTCTTGCCTTCTCCATCATTTCCTTTTTGTTCACCCCTCCTTTGTTTTTTGACAAAGGATCACATCTGGTGTCTTTTAATGTGGACATTTGTTTTCAGAGGGGATTAAGAGAACAGTACGAGAAACAGCAGGTAATTCAGGAAGCCTCTGCTTTGGTCTTTGTCTGAAACACTTTCCTCTAGATTCTCTCTCTGCTCCTCAATATTCTGGATCTTATTATTACCCTTTGACACTGAGTGTATTGAAGCCAAATTAGCTCTTGCTAATTCAACATTCTACTTAATAGTTGTATTTGTGCTGGAACTTGCATTAATTGCATTTTTTTTGGGGGGGGCTCTCTCCTTTAAGTGCCATTAAGGAGAGGCTCTTAAGTTCTGTCAACCAACATATTTGGCGAAACGTTTGGCAAAAATCAGTACGTTTTCTCTTGTGTATCATTTGCGCTCTATCTCTACTTCCAGCTGATTTATGAGAAGGAGAGGGACTATACTTTTGTTTTTTTTTCCACTCATTGTCAAGATCTAGACCAGTCCAGGCTGTCTCCCCCACCAGAAACATGACGGTGAAGCTGAGGTCGGGCCGGATGAAAGCAGGCCGCACCGGGCTGACATTGAGTTTTGATCCCTCCTTCATGAAAACCAGATGGGCTGTCCATCTGAACCAGGGGTCCCCAAACTACGGCCCGCGGGCCACATCCGGCCCGCCAAAGCAATTGGAGTGGCCCACTTAACGATCCCAGACAATCCCTCTAAACATCAACCAATTTTTATTAAATTGCATTTTCCTATCATAACATCATAACATATCCGTACTTAAAGGTTGGCATTCTAATTAAAATTGACCATAGTTATGAGCTATTTATAGTTAATAGTGGCCCATCTTCACCTCCTCACACAATGGTATATTCTGACGTGACTTTGATCGTGACCGAGCCAGCGTCAAGCTGCAAAGTTCTGAGGTGGGAATCTGTCATGAAGGTGGTTGTGTCCTGCATAAACTTCATCAGAGCAAACGGACTTAAACACAGGCAGTTCCAAGCCTTTCTCTCCGAGCTAGAATCAGCCCACGGAGACGTGCTTTACCACACTGAAGTCCGCTGGTTAAGCCGGGGCAGAGTTTTGAAGCGTTTTTACGACCTGCTACCCGAAATCAATGCCTTTCTCCTGACAAAGGGAAAAACTGTCCCAGAGCTGATCGACACAGAATGGAAATGGGACCTCGCCTTTATTAACAGATGTGTCAGAAATTTTAAACGGCCTCAACTTGCAGCTCCAAGGCAAGGGAAAACTAATCTGACATGTATTCCCACATCAAAGTATTTGAGCTTAAACTAGCGCTGCTTATTGGACAGGTGCAAAAACAAGACTTCACCCATCTCCCTGCTACTCGAAGCCTCTCAGCTGAGAAACCGG